GCAAGCTTGGTCCCAAAATCCAGACCTGCATGTACCTCGAGTAAAACTCCGACTCCCCAGACTACTTATTCCTTAACCCCATCACCAGACAGGTGATTCGCAGCCATGATGTCGTCTTCGATGAGACACGCCCCTTCCACTCTGCAACCACAGGCGAGCCTCCTCCACCTCCCCCGACACTTGTATGGGCAGACTTTGATGCCCCACCTCCGGCCGCTGCCCCTTCTCCGGGGCCTTCTTCGTCCAGCTTGTCTCACCTGGCCTCCCCGGTATCCTCCGCAACGGCACCTCCCCCTGCTCCGCATTCGCTGCGCGTCGAGCCCGGCTCACCAGTCTCCTACCAGAGGCGCCTAGTCCCTCTAGTCCCACCGCAGCCGCCTTCGTCTCCGGTCTCTAGTCGCACTCGTTCCAAGGGACCGGCTCCGCCTCTCGCCTGGGGACCAGCCGCCTTCTCCATCCGGTGTTCGGTCACCCCGCCTCCTCCTGCCGGGGGTGATGTCTCCTCCATCCGTATTCCCCCCCGTGCACTTCTGGAGGACAGGCATGAGGAGCTGTTTGACCTTCACGCGGTCTGCCAATTTCTCTCACACATCTTCTCGGACATTACTGACTGACCTTCCCTCAACTTCACCGAGAGCCCGACCATTCCTGCTCCTCGCCCAAAAGAGGAAGCTCTCTCGGGGCCTTATAAGAAGGAGTGGAAGGCAGCAATGGATGTGGAGAACGAGGTGTTCATTCGCAACAATAGCTTTGACGATGTTGTTCCCCCTTCCGGTGTTAACATCGTCGGCGGAAAATGGATCTTCCGAGTCAAACAACTCCCAGGCAAAGCTCCACTGTTCAGAGCACAATATGTGGCGAAGGGTTTCACCCAAAAGGAGTATCTCGACTTCTTCGAAACATTCTCACCCATGGCCAAGCTCCCGACTGTGCGTGCCCTTCTTGATATAGCCGCTCGCAGAAACTTCAAGATCAAGTCCACGGACGCCTCCTCCGCCTTTCTCCAAGGCCAGCTCAAGGAGGATGTTCACATGGAACGCCCACCGGGGTTTCCTGGCACTTACCCTGCCAACACAGTGTGAAAGCTGAAGCGCCCAGTGTATGGTCTCAAGCAAGCTCCTCGTGAGTGGCACAACAAGGTGAAGGAATTCCTCCTCGCACTTGACTTCCATCCCTCTGCCTCAGATTCCAGTCTCTTTATTCGTCACTCCTATGAGCCTTTCTACATCCTCGTCTACGTTGACGACTTCATTCTAGTCGTCAGAGATCCAGCCGAGATGGCAGCTGTCCAGTCTGCTCTCAGCTCCGCCCTTCTCATGAAGGATCTTGGTGACCTCAAGAACTACCTAGGGATGGAGATCACTCGATACCGCCAGGCTTGCACGATCACCCTCTTTCAGGAATCCTACATCGACAACCTTCTCAAGCGTTTCAACGTGGACTCCAGTAACTCTGTCTCCACTCCACTCCCACTACAGCATCAGCTCATGGCCCCTCCGATTCCTTCTCCTGACGCCTGCAAGGACCCGTACCCTGAGCTAGTCGGTTCACTCATGTATGCCATGATGTGCACTCGACCAGACTTGGCTTACCCGGTTAGTGTCCTCTCTCGGTACATCTCCCCCGGACGCTACAGTGCCACGCATTGGTCTGCAGCGAAGACGGTCCTCCGCTATCTACAAGCCACCAAGTCTTACATCCTCACTCTTGGTGGTACCTCTCCAGTCAAGCTTGAGGGATACACAGACTCCTCATGGGCCGATGACCAGACTGACAGACGCTCCTCCCAAGGGTATTGCTTCACCCTTGGTAGCGGAGTCATCAGCTGGCGCTCTACTCGGTCCTCTGCAGTCTCCCTGTCGTCTTGCGAGGCCGAGCTCTTTCGAGGCACAATGGCTGCTCAAGAGGCACGCTGGCTCTCCTTTCTCCTCGTTGAGTTACTCTACCGCCAGCAGTCGCCCACCCTGTGGTGTGACAACCAGAGCGCCATTCACCTCACCAAGGATCCTGTGTTCCACTCTCGCACCAAGCACATCGAAAGTCATCATTTCTTCATTCGAGATCTTGTTCGGAGTGACCAGGTTATGGTACAGTACATCGCCTCAGATTGCAACCTCGCCGACCTCTTTACCAAGGCTCTTGGCAAGGCTGACCACCATCGCCTTCTCCATTCCATGGGGCTATGTGCTCCTTGACCGGGTTTGCAGTCTATGGGGGTGTGTTATAAATAGACTGCAAATCCCACTTTTGTATTTGTACTATTATATCCTAGTTTAGGTTATGAATGTTCTGGTGGATTGGGGTGTACTCACAAATCCCAACCTCACCCAATTGTGATCCCCCCAATCTCCAATTACCCAATTGGAGATTCCGGAGATCCCAATGGGGATTCCATCCGATTCCCCCCTTCATCCATTCTCTCTCACCTTGCCATGTACTTATAGAGCCTTGGGCTCCTTACCTAATTAATGATTTCAACTCTATTTCTTAACAGTGAGTACGCAGTAGAAGCAGTGAGTGCGCGGGAGAAGCTGTGAGTGCACGGGAGAAGCAGTGAGGGCCATCTCACCGGGCATGGGTGCGACGAGTTGCCAGTGGTTGGCGGTGGGGTCGAACACCTCTGCGAACCACAGTAGCCCCGCGTGCCCGAATCCGCCCACCACCAGGAACCCCCCCCCCTGCAGCCGCGCCTTGCAGCAGCTGCGCCGCTCGTGCATGCCAGGCAGCGTGCGCCACTTGCCCTCCCGCACCCTCTCACCCCACTCTTCCCCGTCCCTCTCCCTGTCTTCCCCCCCCACGCACAGTACCTTCGCGCTGTTCAGCCAGCGGCACGCCCCTCCCTTGCCGCCTTTGTGTGAGAGCCCGGCTACAGCGAAAATTCGCGAGCCAATGACGGTGCAGACGAAGCCCTCTCGGAGGCACATGATGGGTGGGTTGGGCGCCCAGCGGCGGTAGGCGGGATGGAAGACGGTGACGGACGGCGGGTGGTGGGGGGCGGGGACAATGGGTTACGGGGGGGAGGCGGCAGAGGGTAGCGGGAGCTTAGAGGTGGAGAGGCAGTGGAAGCCGCCCAGCACGTACAGGCGGCCGCGCAGTGCGGCGCACGCCAGATCGAACAGCCGCAGCCCGCCGCGCTGCTCGCCGCGCTGCGCGCCGCCGCTCCACACTGCGGCTGAGTTCGCGCCGCCAACAGCGTCGCTATGGGGAATGGCGACGGCGAGCGGCGGAGGGAAGGGCGCCCAGCGGTGGAGGCGTGGGTCGTAGACCTCGCCGATGGGCTCGCCACGAATGCCCTGCATGCCCCCTGCCACGCGCGTTGCACAATTCGGGGAGTCGCAAAGGAAACGAAGAGCGCGGTGCGAGTGAAGTGGATTAAGAAATCAAACGAACGTCTAAAAGCAAATGCGGCGACTTGAAGTCGGGCTTAGCGCGCGCGTGACCGCAGCGACGACGCACCGACGACGTAGACCCAGGGCTCCTACAGCCCGTGCAGGCGGCGCAGACGCAGGAGCGATGGGCATGACACGAGGCGGCGGAACCGCGTGCACACGGCGGCGAGCGCGGGATGGAAGGCACGCGGCACGCGGATGAGGCAGAGGAGGAGCAGATTGTCGCAAAGGCCGTCGAGCAGCAGCGAGGGCGAGGGCGGAGATATGGCAAGAGCTGCGCGGGGAAGGCCGCAGGCGGGAGGAACAGAGCCGCGGACGCCATGGCGGTGGTGGTGCGATGAAGAGAGACGAGGGGGAAGGCAGGCTGCCAGAGATGCTGGGAATTTGGAAAATGGTACTTGTGTGCGAGGGCAGTGGCGTGTGTGTGAAAGAACAAGCAGCGCGCGGCGAGGCGAGCTGGCTGGGTGTGAGCGATTGCAAGCAAATTGGTTGGGGAGGGAGGGAGGGCGAGAGGGAGGGCGAGAATGCTAAGGTGTCAGCGGATCGAGTTGACATCGCGTGAGGGCGGAATGAGGTGGGAAATCCAGGGCTGCTGCGCGCCACTAGATTTGGCAAGGGCACCTCATCACCACTCGAATATCCACCAATCACAATCAACTTTAATATAGCAGAATTCAGCTACACCTGACGTCCAGTTAACCGCCCATTCATTATATGACGTCTACAGGCCCATTGGTTCGAACACACGAGAAACTTCTCGATCGACACAGGACCAAAGATCTTTAATAGTTACCACATCTGATACGGAGACCTCCAAACGTGTGCAGGCGGGACGTTCTCAAACCTTACACTGCTGCCCGAGGGACGCAAAGCAAACAACAATGGTCATCCGATTTACACCGGATAACCAGACTACCCTATATTTGCCCAATTCGCCCGTGAAAGTTAGGGTCTCGCCTATGGAGCACTCGCCCGAAAATAAAAGGGGCTTGAAAAGTGTTGGAAATATCTCGAGGACTTAAGCGTTTCTGAAGTGTAACACCACACTTGAGGAAGATCGTAACGGGTACGCGAGTCAACGGAGGTTACATGAGGGGATGGACAAAGAACACGAAAGGACTCGAAGGGTCGCAACCGGAGGTTGCGACCGACCGTTACAATCGCAAAGATGGTAACCGAAGCGACAATCGAGTCGCACAGCGACTCGATAACCGCTCTTTCAACTGTATTCTACAAACTGCTTTACTTTCCTACTTTCTATATATTGCTGTATGCTTGTTCCTTTAATCAATCATTTGTTCTCACATACTAGTACAAGGGTTCAACTACTCAACTTCCGCTGCACTACTCAAGTCTACTTTTACAACTGGGACTTAGTCTCTGGAAAGATCCTAAGGGCATTTCTCAGCCCAACAAAAAGGACTTCATGTGTATTGGTTTTGCAACCACCATAACTAGAATCTGCCAGAATTGAACTTCAGTGCAAACACACGGAGGCTTAGTGGGTAACTGTTAGAACAACCTCACGGAAACTGTTCTCATGTGGGGCATATCCTAAATCGGAGTAATCTATAATGGCTGTACATCGTCAGCAGTTCGCTTCCTCAATCATCACTTCCGCCAATCCCTGTAGCCAGTACCGCGCGCCCCATGGGTGTCGTCCGGTCGCGCGCGAGTCCCTCCGCGGCAGTCGCCAAGCACCTCGCCGCCGCTGTCGCGCGCCTCCTCTTGCTCGCCGCGCTCTGCGCTGCGTCAGGTACGCGCGACTGGTCATAGGCCGCCCACTCGCCACGTGTCGATTGAGCAGCGCTACCCGCTAGCTGCGCAACGCGTTCTCTAGCGGCATCGTGCTTCCGCGCGCCTTCCTTCTCTTCCCTCCCTCGACCCTGTCGCTAGTCTTGAGCGCCTACCGCCCCCTTAGCTGCTCCCCTCCGCTCCCCTTAGCCGCTCGCTCCGCACTAGCGCTGTCATCCATGATTCACGCCGTCTCGCGCTTGCCGCCAGTGCCGCCCGCCCCGCCGTGCGTCAGTCCGCCCTGCTGCTCCCCGTCTCCGTCCCTCCTGTCCCCCCCCGTCGTGTATCACTCTCCCTCCCTCCACCTCCATCTCGTCGCATCTCCCCTTCTCTCCTTCGCCCTTCTCATCCCCCAAGTATCCCGCGTGTACTCTTCCCTTCCCGCTTTCCCTCCCCTCCCCTAGTCGCCTCTCCTCCAAGTCTCCGGCCCTCTTGTTCCTGCCACTTCCCAGCATGCCTTGCCGATCGCTCAAATTCTCTCGCCCTCCCACCTTCCTGCCATCACTTTCCGATCCCCCTCCTCGTTCCTTGTGCTCCGGCCCCCCAATCCGCCCATCCGCCCGTCCGCTCATGGCAGGGCGCGCTGCACTAAAGAGCGGTTCAACAACCAAATAGTACTCCACTCCACAGCCTCGTCACTCACACCTTCCTGCCCTCTCCCCTCCCGCCCCTTCTCCAACCTCCCCCCGCGCTGCGCCATCCTTCCCCGTCAACTCTTCGCCGCCCCCCTCCCTCTCCCCGCCCGCCATCAGCCGCTCTGCTCGCCCTTGTCTCGTGGATCCACCCCCACTCGTCGCATGGTGGGTGCAGTGTGGTGTGGTGTGGTGTGGTGTGGTGTGGTGTGGTGTGGAAGAGTACCTGTTACGGTGGAGGCTGTGCTGCAGTGAGGGGCGTTTCAGGCATGAGGTGGGCGGCATTCTTGGGTGGGTGCTTGTGAACCGAGGGCGAGTGGGCTTGAAGGAATGGTAAGAGGCACAACTCAAGTGCCCAGCAGAGCAGGTGCGAGGATGGACCACTCTGCGCTTTCAATCCTCCCATCATCGATCCACTCCGTCACTCCATATTTGCTCCCCCGCCTGTGTTTGCATTCTTCCTCCCTCCTCTTTTCCCCCGCCTGCCCCCGCCTGCCCCTGCCTGCCTTCCCCCCATGTGTGCAGGCGGTGCTGCTGACAGCCATGCATCTCGGGGGGTGGAGCGCACAGAATCGAGGAAAAGTGGGCGTGGGAGAGAGGGCGTGGGAGAGAGGGTGTGGAAGAGAGTGTGTGGGAGAGAGGGTGTGGGAGAGAGGGTGTGGGAGAGAGGGTGTGGGAGAGAGGGTGTGGGAGAGAGGGTGTGGGAGAGAGGGTGTGGGAGAGAGGGTGTGGGAGAGAGGGTGTGCGAGAGAGGGTGTGGGAGAGAGGGTGTGGGAGAGAGGGTGTGGGAGAGAGGGTGTGGGAGAGAGGGTGTGGGAGGGAGGGTGTGGGAGAGAGGGTGTGGGAGAGAGGGTGTGCGAGAGAGGGTGTGGGAGAGAGGGTGTGGGAGAGAGGGTGTGGGAGAGAGGGTGTGGGAGAGAGGGTGTGGGAGAGAAGGTGTGGGAGAGAGGGTGTGCGAGAGAGGGTGTGGGAGAGAGGGTGTGGGAGAGAGGGTGTGCGAGAGAGGGTGTGGGAGAGAGGGTGTGGGAGAGAGGGTGTGGGAGAGAGGGTGTGGGAGAGAGGGTGTGGGAGAGAGGGTGTGGGAGAGAGGGTGTGGGAGAGAGGGTGTGGGTGGGAGAGAGGGTGTGGGAGAGAGGGTGTGGGAGAGAGGGTGTGCGAGAGAGGGTGTGGGAGAGAGGGTGTGGGAGAGAGGGTGTGGGAGAGAGGGTGTGGGAGAGAAGGTGTGGGAGAGAGGGTGTGCGAGAGAAGGTGTGGGAGAGAGGGTGTGGGAGAGAGGGTGTGCGAGAGAGGGTGTGGGAGAGAGGGTGTGGGAGAGAGGGTGTGGGAGAGGTGTGGGAGAGGGTGTGGGAGAGAGGGTGTGGGAGAGAGGGTGTGGGAGAGAGGGTGTGGGAGAGAGGGTGTGGGAGAGAGGGTGTGCGAGAGAGGGTGTGGGAGAGAGGGTGTGGGAGAGAGGGTGTGGGAGAGAGGGTGTGGGAGAGAGGGTGTGGGAGAGAGGGTGTGGGAGAGAGGGTGTGGGAGAGAGGGTGTGGGAGAGAGGGTGTGGGAGAGAGGGTGTGGGAGAGAGGGTGTGGGAGAGAGGGTGTGGGTGGGAGAGAGGGTGTGGGAGAGAGGGTGTGGGAGAGAGGGTGTGCGAGAGAGGGTGTGGGAGAGAGGGTGTGGGAGAGAGGGTGTGGGAGAGAGGGTGTGGGAGAGAAGGTGTGGGAGAGAGGGTGTGGGAGAGAGGGTGTGGGAGAGAGGGTGTGGGAGAGAAGGTGTGGGAGAGAGGGTGCAGGAAATCAGGTGTGGGAGAGTGGGTGTGGGAGAGAGGTTGTCGGAGAGTGGGTGAGGGAGAGTGGGTGTGGTGGTCAGAACAGTGTGTAAGCATATTCTTGTCCCCCCCACCCCACACTTCTCCCTCCTTCATTGCACAATAGCTTCCACCCCTCATACATGCCTTTTACCGTGGTTGCTTTGCTCGCATGCATGTGGTTGAGTGATTATTGCCCGGTTTCCTGACTGATGGTATGTGGATGGCAGGGGACGAGGCGATGAGGGCAGTGTGGGAGATGGCAGGGGCGGACAGACACCGGGCGGGGCAACTCAGACTCGGACTGGTAAGTGCTGGCATGGGATGGGCAGTGCTGGCATGGGATGGGCAGTGCTGGCATGGTTTGATCGGCAATGGGACATGGAGTAAGGCGAAGGTAAGGGGATGTGAGCGACAAGGGGAGACAGTGGGGCTGCATGCCATGCCTGTCACACCTCTCAACCTCCTGCCACAACCTGTCGTGCTGCGCTCTGCTCCACTTCTTGTCTGTGCCGCGCCCCCCCGTGCGCATTTCATCTGTCCATTTCTCCAGACCGCTCCTCCTCCTGCCGGCCACCTCCCATCACCACCGTGCATCTCTGTGCTGGGCCGCTGTGCTGGGTCGCTGTGCTGTGCACCTCTCCCCCCAGGTGGTCCCACAGGTGGTCAGCTGGGAGCCGCGGATCACGCTGCTCAAATCCTTCCTCAGCCTAGAGGTCCCACCCCCTGCTCCCCTCGCCCCCACTACCTCGCCCCCCCTCCCCTCGCCCCCACTCCCCTCGACCGTGTTCCCTCTCTTACGTCTTTCCTCGGCACATCAGTGTCACGTCCCGCGATACTCTCACTGCATGAATGTTGGCCACCATGTCCGCTTCAACGCGCTGCCTGCTAGCCCCTGCCTTGCGTTTCCATTCCTCTTGCCTCCCTCAATTCTCCAATCATGCTCAAGCGTCCACCACCCGCCCTCCTACCATCCCCATCACCCATTATTCAGCAATCATTGATCACCATTCGCCAATCATCAATCATCAATTACCTCTGAAGGGCCATCACCCATGACCGCTCACCACTCACGAGTGCCCCCCATGCGCCCCCCTGGCAGGAGTGCGAGGCGCTCAAGGCCATTGGCAGGAAGGCCCTCGAGTCCTCCACGGTCGTCGACTCCTCCTCCGGCAAGGCATGGCCGCCCCCCCCCTTTCTGGTCCCACTTCCCTCCTGCGATGCTGTTTTGTTCCCAGCTGTCTCTGTCCGCACAGAAACGTCTGTGTCATTGCGCCTGCTATCTCAAGCATATGTGCGTGCATGTGTGCTTGTGTGAATGCTACCTTCTGTTTGTATGCATGTATATGTGTGTGTGTGAGCGCGAGTGCACCTCCGGCCATGCCCTCGGCAGAGCTACCGCAGTGAGGTGCGCACGAGCAGCGGCATGTTCCTCTCGCACTCCGACTCCGCACGCCCACTTGTCAAGGTCAGCTGCTCTCGCACTCCCATGACCCATCACCCCATGCCCCCATCACCCCATGCCCCCATCACCCCATGCCCCCATCACTCCATGCCCCATCACCCCATGCCCCCATCACCCCATGCCCCCATCACTCCATGCCCCCATCACCCCATGCCCCCATCACCCCATGCCCCCATCACCCCATGCCCCCATCACTCCATGCCCCATCACCCCATGCCCCCATCACCCCATGCCCCCATCACTCCATGCCCCCATCACCCCATGCCCCCATCACCCCATGCCCCCATCACCCCATGCCCCATCACCCCATGCCCCCATCACCCCATGCCCCATCACCCGAACCACGCCCACCACGGCCACCCCATGTGCCTGTGCAGACCATTGAGGAGCGCATTGCAGCGTTCTCCAACGTGCCCCCCCAAAACGGCGAGCTCATCCAAATACTCAAGTGAGGTCATCCGAATACTCAAGTGAGGTCAATCGCGTGCAGAAGCACGCTGGGGCAAGCTGTCAAGGAAGTCTAGATCTGTGGCATCATGGTTGAACGCTCGGAGTTGGTCGAATGTGACACACTCTGCTGTGCGCAGGTGTGCCACGTCTTCGATACCTCATTTGCGCTAGCAGCAATGCATTCTGTTCTTCTGGTTGCGTAAACCCATGAAATCCCCTTTTCCAATCATGGCATCTCGCCTTACGCATGTGTGTGTTTGTGTGCGTGCCGATGTTTGTGTGAATGTATGCATGTCTGTGTGTGGGTGCATGTGTGCTTGCGTGCATGTCTGTGTATAGCTACATGTGTGCATGCGTGCATGTCTGTGTATGGGTGCATGTGTGCATGCGTGCATGTCTGTGTATGGGTGCATGTGTGCATGCGTGGATGTCTGTTTATGCGTGAATGTGTGCATTTGTGCATGGCTATGTATGGGTGCATGTGTGCTGTATGCTTGTTCGCATGTCTGTTTGCGCATGCATGTGTGTATGTGCGCATGCATGCGCCATGCCCCATGCATGCGCCCCACCAGGTACAAGCATGGCCAACACTACCTGCCCCACCCCGACTACTTCTCAGACCAGGTCGACCAGCCCGTGATGCAAAGGGGTGTCGTGGGGTGTCATAGTGTGCGATGGTGTGAAATGTTCAGCTATGGGGTATGGTGGGTGGGTGTATGGCTGGGTCTGATGACGCCAGTCCCAGGGTTATCCCACTAATCTGCGCTACCCCCTGCCCCCCTGACAGGTGAACGTGCGGCGGGGCGGACAGCGCGTAGCCACCATGCTCATGTACATCGAGGCACCAGAGGAGGGCGGCGAAACCATCTTCCCCAACGTGAGACACAGAAGGGCAATGAGCAGGCCAGGTGGACAGGGGCACAGATGCTCTAGAGTAAAGGTAGTGGTGACGCCAACAAGGGCGTGTGTGAGTCGTGTGCGAGTAGGCATCTGCAGTGGCCGTCTGAGCGTGCCTAAGAGTGCTGTCCTCAGTGGCCTGCAACACCGCAGCCCACCTTAGGCGAGTGGCCTGCCAGTTGCGGCAGCAGTGTGGCAGGGAAGGGCGGTCCACTGCTCAAGCCATGTGGGCGAGGAGCGTGGTTTGGTGCCAGCAGGCATCACAGCCATGAGCTGCACAGAATAAGAGGCCAAGATGCTGCATCCAGTTGTTATGCTCCCTCTTCTACCTGTGTGCCTCGCAGCCTGCCTGTGAGAGCACCCAAGGAGTGCCTGTGTGCGTGGAGTGTCCAAGGTCCGGGATGGCCACGTTGGTGCGCCAAGTGTCACGTGCGCCCAGGTCCCGAGTCTTGACATCGGCCTTGAGGGGTGATTCTGGTGGCGAGTGCACAGCACACTCACCGGGGGGTAGGGGTGGACTATCTTTCCCATCCTTGCCGGTTTCTCCCGCTCTCGCGCTGCTTCAGCCCCCTCATCATTCTTGCGTGGCAGGTGGGCGGCAGCAGCAAGTGTGAGTGCGGGGGCGAGCTGAAGGAGGGCATCTGCGTGCACCCAGTCAAAGGGGACGCCGTGCTCTTCTGGAGTACGGTGAGTGCTGCTCTGGAGTGTGACGTGTGTTTCATTGGATTACCGTATTCCCCCGGATATACGCACCGCCGGCTAAAACGCACCATGGTGCGTATATCCGGAGGGGTGCCACATCGGGCGTGCCAACTATACGCACCTCCCCTCTGCCCAGGATCTAATCCCTACACGCACCCCGTTTTTTTCCGCACAAGAATCATGCGCTGACTGGGCTGACCACAAATTAGATTTGAGATTTGTCAATGATTTCGTTTCATCACACAAAATCTGGTCAACATTGCTTTGCTGCCGTGCGATACGAGAGGAACGGACGGCCAAGATCGACCCTTCTTGCCTGCTCGCTGGCAAAGTGCAGGGATCAGGGCTGTCGTTATCAGGGTATTTTACCCTGATTCCCTGATTTCACTGGGTTTTTTTTTTGCCAGCCCTTAATTTTCAGGGTTTGGCGCTTTTGAACCCTAGTCCCTTAAGGGTTGTAAGTTTTTGAACACTTAGGATTTCAGGGTTTGCGTTATGCCAATACTGATTTTTTAGGGAGCAACGCGTACGGACCCTGAATGCGACATCCATGCCATCCTTGACCTTCTGCAAAATTCCCCCTACGCGTGACTGGTCTCCCCACACACCCAACAACTCAAAAATCGACGAAATCCTTTTTTCTAGACATCCCCCCCACACACCAAGCAACCTAAAAAATCGGCCAAGTCCTCTAGGACAGCCACTCCCCCAACACACCCAACAACCTACAAAACCTGGCTAAGTCCTAATAGCCAGAGACAGGACAAACGAAAAATGGGTTAAGTATATTGTACAGACATTCCCACTCCCAGTCCTCAACGTCACCCCTTATACCCCCAACAAACCCATACCTATTTTCTAAGAGCAGTCGCTCCTTTTAGTGGAATTTTCGCCAGTTGCCCGTGTGGTCATTTGAAAGTCAATCAAAATGGGACGGCCACGATCGATTGCGATCGTTTCGACAATTATCAGCCGTTCCATGGTTGCCAGTCATAAACGTCATAGATTTCCCTAGTCATTTGAATCACGCCCATGACGGTGGAAGGGAGTGGGGTCCCTCCCACAGAGGGCGCTGCAAGCACGCGAAGTTTCTCCCACCACCCCATTTGCCAGCTTCCCCCCCTCCCCTCCGTTTCGATCCCCCCCTCCCTCTCCGTTTTGCTTCCCTCCCCTCCGTTTCGATTCCCCCTTCCCCTCCGTTTCGCTTTCCCCCTCCCCTCGGTTTTGATTCCCTCCCCTTTTCCCACTCGAATTCGATTCCCCCCTCCCCCCCTCTTTGATTTCCTCTCCCTCAATTGAGCCGTGGGCGGCCATCTGATTTTTGAGCTACAGTATTTTCACTTCGCCTGGAAAATCTGAAAAAATAAAACCCGCCCGCCAGAAGTAGCAAAGGAGAAATATCGTGACTGCTAGAGATGATGCGGCAATTTGAGAATGGCTACGGCGGTTGCTAAATGGAACCCTGATTGGGTTCTGTGAACCCTGAGAATTTCAGGGTTTCATATTTCTGAACACTGACAAATTTTGTAGGCATTTTTGGAAAACAGACCCCTCAAGGTAAATATTTTTTTTTAGTCGACAGATCAGGGGGTGGTTTTTTGAAACGTCAGCCGTGGCAGGGATCCTGCCTGGTTGGCGAGTCGATCTAGTGTAGGGAGATTTTCGAGGGGTTGTTTGGGGTATTCGCGTTTGGGAGCACATCAACCCGAGTTGAAATTGTTTGAGCTACATTTTCATGCCTTTTTGTATTTTCCTATAGAACCATTTTAAACGCACTGTGCCATATAAAAAAAATCGAATACACGCACCAGGGCCTCAGATTGCAGGCTTTTTACTCTGGTTCAAGGTAAAATCAGGGCTTTTTCGGGGGGTGACCCTGATGAGACAGGATTTTTTTAAGACACAGGCCTGAAATTCAGCGCTTTTTAGGAGTGAACTCTGATCGATCAGCGTTACTAGTGTAGTGAGCCCTGTTTGTTCAGATTCGTGTAATAGCAGATTCGCAGCCCCCACCCCTCCACCCGTGATTTCTGTGAGTTTCCCCAACCGCCCCTTGTCAATCCCGCCGACTTGAATGCGACCGTCCATTTTTGTTTCCGACGCGGTCGTACTTTCAGAGCCCAATCCTAGCCTTGGTCCCTCTGCGCCTGCTGCCATTGAGAACCCTGCTACCGCATAATACTAGGCATATATTACACAGCGTGCTTTCTGTGTATAATCAGGTTTACTCAGCGTGAAAATTTCTAGGGACCCTGATGGATCAGGGATTTTTTTTTTTAGAGGCCTGAAAAATCAGGAGACCAAGGTGGGGGGACCCTGAGCTACCAGGGTGCCTCTAAACGAATCTGAGGCCCTGAAGCGCACCCCCCATTTTGAGATACAATCCCTAAACGCACCTAGGCGAGTATATCCGGGGGAATGCGGTATCGGGCACCATGCTGCAATTGTTATCATAATAAGACCCAAACTGAGCGTATACTTTCCTCCCTGCAGATCGTTGGCTTCCAGTGGTCGTGTTCTGTACTTTCGCCACCTGCAGTGTCCGCTCATTCCTTCCTTTCGTGTCCCCCGCCCCCCCAGGACTTGGAGGGCGTGGTGGACCCCAAGAGTCTGCACGGCAGCTGCGACGTGCTCAAGGGGGAGAAGTGGTCCGCCACCAAGTGGATGCGCCAACATGAGTTCCACTGACTGCCACTCACTCGTTTTTTTACGGTTACCACATTACAAAGGGCGTATGCCTACGACATAGTGTTCAGTACCAGAACCCCAAAACGAGTCTAAAGATTGTACTCTGTTGGAAATGATAAAAGTGTTGTGATAAAATCGTACTTCTGTAACAGGCCCCTAGATTGCAGGAAAATTTTCCTGATTCAGGAAAAAAACAGAGTTGTTGCTGGTACCAGTCCTGATTGTCCAGGATTTTTCGAAAGGCATTTCCTGTTTTTTCAGCATTTTTTGGGGGGTCAACTCTGATTGCTAAGCAAAGTTTTCTTAACGAATCCTGAAATTTCAGCTTTGCAACGAAACTGTACTTGTTTCCGTCCATGCGTGACCTGGGGGCCAGCAGAGATTTCCGAGGTTCTGGCCCGCCCTCCAGGCTCTGTGAGGGTGCTTATTGGCCCTTCACCAAATTCGTGGCTCGACGCGTGGGGGCAGTGCGAGGGAGGGCACTTGGTCCTTAGCCAAATTTTGGGCCCGATGTGTTCCTTAGAGCTTTGTATGGGCGAAATTTCCCTCAGCCCCTGCAATCTCGCCCACCTGACCAGATTCACCCTGCAAGCATAAATTCGCTACTAAAGCATGCGCTAAGAACCTCTAAGAAATCAGGAAAAACTCCATAAGTAACTCTGTCTGCTCAGGAAAAAAATATTTAGGAGTCCTGATTCACGAGGAATTTTTTTGGGACCAACCCTGAAAAATCAGAGAAAAACTCAGGGGGGATCCTGAGCGATCAGGGCTCCTAAAAACCAATCTAGGGGCCTGTTCTGTAAGTAGTTCCGATAGATATTGTCGAGTTATACTGTAGTTAGCATCCGTAGAATGACGTCAGCAAAAACTGCTCATCAGGATGGTTACGTCAGCAGACCGTTTCATTTACGCGAACAGTCGCGCTCTTTTTAATAGCGGTTAGAGCGCATAGCGCAAATAGTTTTGAACAGGTACATTACCGAATAGCTACCGTAATATGTAATTTTTTGAAAGTGTGTAACACTTTCTAAAAATGTGTATTGTGAGAGTGTAGCAAGGGCCAACGCAGCAGAGGCAGCGACGAAGCGCTACTCACCCTCTTTTGCCTACAAAAGAGGGACGTGAGGCCACTCGGCCTCATACACGTTCTTCATTTCTAGTTTCTCTAGTTCTATTTCCGCAGTTTCTCGTCCAACCTGGTGAAGACCCAGTCCCTCCCCCGAGGCAAGGCTCCGACGACGCTCCTCACCAACATTTTGCAGCACAACCTCACTAACATGGCGTCGGCGAACACGACTCCGAATCGTCCGACAAACAACCCCAACAATTCCATGGAGCCCGGAACTTCGGCCGGGGCAACCGCCTGTCGCCAGAAACGTCCTGCTGAGGAAATTTTTGGCGAGGGGCCCTCGGCTGTCGAGGTCCTGCTTGGCGCCAATCGCAGCCGCGCGAGCTGCCAACGGAGGACCACGCGCCTGCGCACGTCGCGACGGCTGCAGGCCACGCAGGCCCCACGGAGCACACGCCCTTTGACGAGGTCGTGCCAGCCGCCGCCGCCCCCGCGTTGACCGCACAACAACTCCAGGCGCTTTTGGCGCTGTTACACCAGCAGCCGAATGTTACGCTCGGAACATCTTCGGACAATATAACTGCTACGACCAATTTCGCCAAGAAGAAAGAAATGCCGCCACCTACTCGCGCGCCGAAAGCTCCGCGCGTCGACAACTAGCCCCCGGCACCAACTCCCGCACTCGCCAATGACACCGACGACAGCGACGACTCTGAAAATGATGATGGTGAGGCTCCTGCCAATATTGCTCGCCATCGCATTCTCGCCCCCGCCCCCCCTCTTTCCCCCCTTGGTCCCACGCCCGCAGCAACTACCTTCATGCGTAAGGGCGTGCGAGACCAGGCCGAAGTCTTCACTGCTATCCAAGCGCACCTGCAGCACATCGACTTCGAGCTGCAGCACGGCAACGTCACAGGCGCACTCAACAACGTGAAACACATCGAGACGCTTATTAATAAGCGTTTCGAGGTGCTTCTCGTGGCGGATGAGGCCGGCTTTGAGGCCGCTGATCACTTCCAGCTCTACCAGTCCAAGAGTGTGCTGACGTCCCATTCCTACAAGCTGGCGGTCGCCGACGTGGCTGCACTCAAGCGCGCACGCGCCATCTACCCCCATGGTGGTCGTCCCGGCGGCCGTGACGGAGAAATGGACCTCAAAGGCTCCCCCCCTCTCACGTGCCAGCAGCCACGCTTCAAGGGCGTGTGCTTCCGCTGTGGCCTACCAGGCCACATGGCTAACGCGTGCCCCATGGGCGGGCGTGGAGCACAAGGCCCCTCACCGGTGGTGTGAGCGGGGATAAGGGAGGTGCCCTTCGCCAATATGCAAGAAGCATATTGGGCTGCACCGGGGGTGCATGGCTGGTGGCCGGCCGTAGGACAAGGCAAATGGCCTTGTAGACTAGGGTAGCCCTAGGGGCAGAGAAGGCCGTGGGCCTAGAACCTTGCGTTATTCCATGTATGGATCATGCATGCCGTTATGGCGCATTGAAACTAAGATTGCAAAAAAAAAAAAAAAAAAAAAAAAACATTTGCAAGGCCTCGATGAAAGAAAGAAAGAGAGAAGGCAAGAGAAACAGAGAGAGAGCAAGCAAGAGAGAGAGAGAGAGAGAGAGAGAGAGAGAGAGAGAGAGAGAGAGAGAGAGAGAGAGAGAGAGAGAGAGAGAGAGAGAGAGAGAGAGAGAGCATAAGATAAAGAGAGAGAAAGACCATAAGAGAAAGAGAGAGAGAGAGAGAAAGAGAGAGATAGAGAGAAAGAGAGAGAGAGAGAGAGAGAGAGAGAGAGAGAGAGAGAGAGAGAGAGAGAGAGAGAGAAGGGATAAGAGAGAGAGAGAGAGCATAAGAGAAAGCAAAGGGAAAGAGCACAAGAGAAAGAGAGAGAGAGAGAGAGAAAAAAAAGAGATAAAAAGAGAGAAAGAAAGAAAGTGTGTGTGTGTGTGTGTATATGAGAGAGAGAGAGAGAGAGAGAGAGAGAGAGAGAGAGAGAGAGAGTGAGAGAGAGAGAGAGAAAGAGAGAGAGAGAGAGAGCAGAGAGAGAGAGAGAGGTGACGAAGGCTCCAGCGCTAAAGGGAGAAGGCATGAATATCAGCCATGCTCCTTTTGCAATTGAACATGAGCCACTCTTGCTTTGCCAACTGAACGGGAGCTATGCCCCCCCTGGAATCGACTATGACACATCCACCCTTCAGGCAATTGTCTGGTCTCACTCACTTGGGTACCTATGTGATTCTTGCCACCCGACCCTTTGGTCCAGCAGAAATTGGGAAAGGATGGTTACACAAGGAACATGACCCCTACGAGTACGCGGTTACAGACAAGGACGTAACTGTCATGCATAGTCGATTGCGTCATGCCCTACACTGGTGGTGCTCATGGTGCGATAGCAGTTTCATCCTGTCCATCATCGCGAAAGGATATTGGCTTCCCTGGAAGGAAGCCGTGCCACATGCCTTTGAGGATAGCAATCATGCTGGAGTTCACACACACCTGGACTTCACTCGTGGAGCGATTCGCGACCTCGTCACCTCGGGTGCCGCCGTCAAGGTCCCTACAAAGGACACGCTCATGTGTGTCAGTCCACTGAACGTGGTGGAGCAGCGCGACAAGTGTCGCCTCATTCTTGACTTGCGCAAAGTCAACAACTACCTCGACATCCCCAAGTTCAAGTACGAAGGCTTGAACAGGGTAGCCGAACTCATCCGCCCAGGCGATTGGATGTTCTCCATCAACCTAAAGTCAGGCTACCACCATGTCGAGATCCACCCCTCCTGCTGGAAGTTCTTGGGATTCCAGTTTGAAGGAGACTACTATTCCTTCATATCGCTCCCGTTCGGGCTTGCCACTGCCCCGTTCGTCTTCACACAACTGATCAAACAACTGGCAAAGCGATGGCGGGCAAGCGGCGTGCGGGTTGTTCCATATGTCGATGACTTACTATTCCCTCTGCAACTCCCACACGGATGCACGCTTGACCTGCGCAGCTGTTGTTAAGGACCTGAAGGCAGCAGGTTTTGTTATAAACGGCAAAACGTCACATCTACACCCCTCGCGCCAGATAGCTTTCCTCGGCCTGGAGATTGATGCCGCCGAAGCACCTTCTCCGTCGGACTCGAACGTCGAGCACAACTTTTTGCTTCACTCCAAGCCCTCATCACCCAGGGACAAGAGGGACGACCGGTTCCCATCCGGTCCCTTGCGAGAATCACAGGAATGCTGGCCTCCATGAATCTGGCATTGGGCGCTACGGCACGTGCCTTTAGTCACGAGCTCCTTTGACTTATTGCAGACGCCACCTCTTGGCACGCCAAGGCACACTTGTCATCGACAGCAGTGCACGAGCTGCATTTTTGGCTTGCGCAGTTCCACAAGTTCAACGGAAACCCATTCCATCTCAGTCACCAGTTCGATGCCGTCATCCACGTCGATGCAAGCGCACACAGCTGGGGCGCCACCCTGACACAACTTCCTGGGATGCCCATTGAAGCCAGTGCTCGCATGCCCGAGGAACTACTGCCCACCTCCACCACTCGACGGGAACTCGAAGGAGTTTTATGGGCTCTCCGAACTTTCGCTGCCCGCATACCCAAGCGCCACGTACTCGTTCGGGTAGACAATCAAGGCGTGGTATTCATCCTACGCAAAGGTGGATCGCGCCACCCCACGCTTGCGCTACTGTGTCAAGCAATCATTCGCCTCTGCCTGGAACACCAAACAAGGCTAGCTGTCGAATGGATCCCACGAGAGCTGAATGCGCACGCCAACGAACTTTCAAAAATCCAAGACCACGATGACTACTCCCTCAAAGCCCCATGGTTCCGGCTCTAGGATCGCCGCCTGGGTCCCAACTCTATCGATCTCTTCGCAAATGTGCACAACGCTCAGCTGGAGAGGTTTTGTTCCAAGATTCCATACCCTACGGCTGCAGTGTTTGACGCATTTTCGTTCAGCTGGCAGCACGAGCGTGGCTTTGCGTTTCCCCCTCCCAACCTCATTCCAGCCACATTACGACACGCTAAACGCACACACGCTGAGGTGACCTTGGTCATTCCCGAGTGGCCGGGAGCATCATGGTGGCCACTCCTCCAACAGGCACCTGACGCCTGGGTGCCAGAAGTAACGGCACACATTCCCCTCACCCACGGCAGCCAATGCCTACGCCCCTGCACACACGCACTCGCTTTCGTAGGACAAGGCTTTCCTCCTAGTAAGATGATTGCACTGCATGTCACGTATAAAAATTAATAATAATTGTACTCTATGCTGTACCTTTTCAGGCATTATAACAAAGCTGTAAACACAACTACTACACGTAATCACCCATGTCCGTGCCCCTTCCACCATCCGAACGTATGAGCCCTACTGGCTCAAATTTCGCTCCTTCTGCATGAAGGTGAAGTTGAGCTACTTGCCTACAACGGATATGACCTTGGCACTCTACCTCATTCATGCACTAAATCACCAGGCCACCACATCTTCCATATCGCTTACATGCTCCGCCGTCACCTTCGCGCATCGCATGACTGGCGAGCCCTCTCCTTCGACTGGACCATTTACACTACAAGTGCGCGAATTTGCCAAACGCCATGGCCCGCGCCCCACCCGGAACAAGGAACCTTTGTCGCTGCACCAAGTGCACACCATTGCCCGCCCCTTTCTGGAGTCCACCCGGCCGGTCGAATACCAGAAAGATCTCATCCCCATCCTTATGTTCGCCGCCTTCCTACGCTACTCCGACCTTGTCAGTCTCCAATGGCATGACATACAGTTTGAGCCTGAGGCGATGTGGCTGCTCATCCCGCACTCCAAGACCGACCAGGAAAGCAGGGGCACGTGGATTCCGGTCGCCGCCACTTCTGGCCCATACTGCCCGGTACGCTGCACACGACACTTTCTTCTCCTCGCGGGTCACACCTCCACCCCACACGGACCATTGATCCGAGTCTTCGGGAACAGCAGTACGGCAACTCCACAGGACCACGCACCTTCGTACACCGCCATCCGGAACTGGTGCCTTGAAGCATTCACCAGGGCCGGCCTCGATAGCGCCCACCTCGGCACCCACTCCTTTCGCAAGGGCGCTGCTACAGCGGCAGCCAGCCTGGGGATATCCGACCGGCTGTTCAAGCGACTTGGCCGTTGGCGCAGCGATAATGCAAGGAGCTCTACGTTACCATCGCGCATGACCAACTCCTTCAAGCCTCCATGCAACTCCAAGACGCAGCCACCGCTCCCACGCCCAATCAGCACCAGCTATCTATTGAACGCCACCGCCAACCCCTTCTGCACATGTCTCAGAAGACCAGATGAAATGAAGCACGCTGCCTTAACAAGAGGACCTAAGCAAGCTTTCACAATATGTAATTTTCTGAAAGTGTGTAACACTTTCTAAAAATGTGTATTGTGAGAGTGTAACGAGGGCCAACGCAGCAAAGGCAGCGACGAAGCGCTACTCACCCTCTTTTGCCTACAAAAGAGGGACGTGAGGCCATTCGGCCTCACCCACGTTCTTCATTTCTAGTTTATCTAGTTCAATTTCCCCGCCCACGCACCCTCTTGTGTGTAGTTCTTTGTTGGACGAGAACCATGTATGTTTCCCAGATGAAATAAAGCACGCTGCCTTTACAAGAGGACCTAAGCAAGCTTTCACAATCCCTACGTAACCGTACATGATGAACAGTAACCACACAAGAACCTGTGCATATCCTTTCAAGAAGATTTTTCACATGTGACGCTGTTAACCATCGAAACAACCGAGAGATAAGATCTCCAATGTTTGAACATACATACACTACAAGGCATGCAAAACAAAGAGTATGAAAGCATGCTTCGAGGCAAATCAAGCAAAGAAAGAAATAGAAGACGAAAATCAACCACTCAGGAAGCCATGGGCAGGCAAAAAGAACTTTATCAGCTGCCCCAAGGATCATTCAAACCATTTGGCAGCGCCTGATAGGGTGTGCGGCTGGTTCCCTGCCCGGTTGTGGTACGGCCCGACGAACCAATGGCGCGCGTCGAGAACCCACCAGGAGATGAAGAAGGCTACGGTTACCAGCAGCACGCAGCTAGACCAGTTGAAGTTGGAGACCGTTACAGGGAAGTACATGGGAACCATGGAGGTTGCCATGGTGTAGAGCACAAATAGGAGAGCCCCTGCGTTGATGCTCCTCCTGAAGGCAATGGGAATGCGAACAGTGGGGGGAAGCGAGGAGGGGGAAGGGGGAAGTACATTCGAACCATGGATGTTGGCGGGGTGTAGAGCACAAAGAGGAGAGGCCCGGAGTTGATGCTCCGTGTCGCAAGAGTGGAGGGGAGGGAGAGGATGGAAGCGGGTGGGAACCGTGGGTGTTGCCATGGTGTGGAGGGCACTGGTGTTGATGCGCTTCGTGAGAGGGAAGGAGTGTGGGGGATGAGAGGGAAGGGGTGTGGGGGATGAGAGGGAAGGGGTGTGGGGGATGAGAGGGAAGGGTGTGGGGGATGAGAGGGAAGGGGTGTGGGGGATGAGAGGGAAGGGTGTGGGGGATGAGAGGGAAGGGGTGTGGGGATGAGAGGGAAGGGGTGTGGGGATGAGAGGGAAGGGGTGTGGGGGATGAGAGGGAAGGGGTGTGGGGATGAGAGGGAAGGGTGTGGGGGATGAGAGGGAAGGGGTGTGGGGGATGAGAGGGAAGGGGTGTGGGGGATGAGAGGGAAGGGGTGTGGGGGATGAGAGGGAAGGGGTGTGGGGGATGAGAGGGAAGGGGTGTGGGGGATGAGAGGGAAGGGGTGTGGGGGATGAGAGGGAAGGGGTGTGGGGGATGAGAGGGAAGGGGTGTGGGGGATGAGAGGGAAGGGGTGTGGGGGATGAGAGGGAAGGGGTGTGGGGGATGAGAGGGAAGGGGTGTGGGGATGAGAGGGAAGGGGTGGGGATGAGAGGGAGGGGTGGGGGATGAGAGGAAGGGTGTGGGGGATGAGAGGGAAGGAGTGTGGGGGGGGGGAGTGGGGATGAGAGAGAAGGGCAGCAAGAGAGGGGGGAGGGGGGGAGGGGAGTTGGTGGAGAGGAAGTAGATGGAGGGGGGTGGAGGGGGGGGAGGTAGGTGGAGGGGGTGGAGGGGAAGTTGGTGGAGGGGAAGTAGATGGGGACCATGGCAAAAAAAGAGCACCACCGTTTATGAGCTTTGGGAAAGGTACACATGGGAAGGGAAGGTAGGGATTGGGAAGGGTACAAAAGGGGTGGTTGGAGTCTGGGAGTGAGGGACACATGCACATGCACATGCAAAAGGGGTGGTTGGAGTTTGGGAGTGAGGGACAGATGCACATGCACATGCACATGCACATGCAAAAGGGGTGGTTGGAGTTTGGGAGTGAGGGACACATGCGCATGCACATGCACATGCAAAAGGGGTGGTTGGAGTTTGGGAGTGAGGGACACATGCACATGCACATGCACATGCACATGCACATACAAAAGGGGTGGTTGGAGTTTGGGAGTGAAGGACACATGCACATGCACATGCAAAAGGGGTGGTTGGAGTTTGGGAGTGAGGGACACATGCACATGCACATGCACATGCACATGCAAAAGGGGTGGTTGGAGTCTGGGAGTGAAGGACACATGCACATGCACATGCACATGCAAAAGGGGTGGTTGGAGGTTGGGAGTGAAGGACACATGCACATGCACATGCACATCCACATGCACATGCACATGCAACGGTATAAGTCTCACAGTACCTACCCTTCCCACCAGCCCAGCACCTTTCCACATTCCAATGTCCACCTTTCCACATTCCATTTCCCACCTTCCCGCGTGCCCCACGTATGGCTGCAGGCTGAACGCCCCTGGCTTAGACGCCTCCTCCGGTTGAGACAGCCCCATCTCACTCATTCCCCGTGCTCACCTTCCCGCGTGCCCCACGTATCGCTGCAGGCTGAACGCCCCCGTCTTGAACGCCCCTTCCGGTTGCAGCAGGCGCAGCACGATGGGCACGGCATAGCTGCCCACCCACGCCACGGTGGCCAGGGACGTGATCGCAAAGAAGGTGTTTTTGGAGTGCAGCAGCGGCAGGCATGTTACAGCCCCTTCTCACACATTCCCAGAGCTCACCTTCCCGCGTGCCCCACGTATCGCTGCAGGCTGAACGCCCCCGGCTTGAACGCCCCTTCCGGTTGAAGCAGTCGAAGAAAAATGGGCACGGCGTAGCTGCCCACCCACGCCACGGTGGCCAGGGAGGTGATGGCGAAGAAGGTGGTTGTGGAGTGCAGCAGCGGCAGGCAGAAGAGGATCGCGATGGTGCACGTGAGCAGCACCGCGTACACGGGCGTGCGATCGCGGTTCACCCGCCGCCACAGGAAGGAGAAAGGGAGGCCGGAGTCACGCGAGAGAGAGAAGGCCTGGGGAAAGGGAAGGTGGGGCGGGGGGGTGGGGGTGGGGGAGGGGTGTGTGTGTGAGCGCGTTTGACTCGGCGCCCCAGGAAGGAAAAGGGGAGGCCGGAGTCGCGGGAGAGGGAGAAGGCCTGGACGGGTGAGGAGGAAGGGGGGAGGGGGGAGGCGAAGGGGAGGAGAAGGGGAGGAGAAGGGGAGGAGAAGGGGAGGAGGGGGGAAGGAGAAGGGGAGGAGAAGGGAGGAAGGGGGGAGAAGGAGGGGAGGAGGGGAAGAGGAGGAGGGAGGAGGAAGGGAGGAGGGGAGGATGAGGGGGGGAGGAGGAGGGGAGGAGAGGGGGAGGAAGGGGGGAGGAGGGGAGGAGGAAGAGGGAAGGGGGGGAGGGGGGAGGAGGAGGGGAGGAGGAGGAGGGGAGGAGGAGGGGAGGAGGGAGAGAGAGGTGCGGAATGGGCGGAAGAGGACAGGATTAAGGGCAAGGGTGGTGGTGGGTGGGCAAGACAGAGGGCAGGCCACTGTCGTTTTCTTCATTGGGTGAACATAGCATGATGAGTTTTGGGTCGACTCAAAAGCTGCTTACAGCATAGGATGGCACAGGGAGTCGGCCGAAGGGCTGTGACTGTCCAAGGGTTTGACTCTGCAGTGACTTACTGCTCTGGATGGGAGCGGCTTACTGCAAGGGAGCGGCTTACCGCATGGGAGCGGCTTACAGCATGGGAGCGGCTTACCACATGGGAGCGGCATACCGCATGGGAGCGACTTACCGAATGGGAGCGGCATACCGCATGGGAGCGGCTTACCGCATGGGAGCGGCTTACCGCATGGGAGCGGCTTACCGCATGGGAGCGGCTTACCGCATGGGAGCGGCTTACAGCTCGTGAAGCCCCGATGACAGCGGCAAAGGTGGCAAAGAAGAAGGAGAAGTACATGAGGCACAGCAGCACCACCGCTCCCGTGCCGTTGCCGTATCTGCAGGGAGGGGAGCGAGAGAGAGAGAGATGACAGAGAAGGAGGAGACAGCGAATGGGAAGGAGGAGAGGGAGAAGTACATGAGGCACAGCACGCCTGCTCCTGTGCCGTTGCCGTATCTGCAGGGTTAGGTGAGTCGGCGCATGGGGATGAGATGGAGAGAATAATCACAAAAGGGTTAGAGCACATAAGTACATGAGGCAGAGTAGCACGACTGCTCCCGTGCCGTTGCCGTATCTGCAGGGAGGGGAGCGAGAGAAAAGCAGTGGGAAAGAAACCGCTCAAGTAAACAGAGAAGTGCTAGAGACAGGGCAGCCTGACTGTGCCCGTGCCGTAGCCAGCGAGGTTAGGTGGGAGGGCAGATGGGGGTGAGAGGGAATGAAGGAGTGAAGTGAATGAAGGAGTGAAGTGAATGTACGAGTGAAGTGAATGAAGGAGTGAAGTGAATGTACGAGTGAAGTGAATGTACGAGTGAGGGGTTAGAGCACAGAAGCACATCAGGTAGGGCTGCATCGCTGCTCCCATGTTGTTGCCAAACTGGCAGAAGGAAAGTGTGGAGAGGGAAAGGAACGCATAAATGAAACAACAACAGATGATCAGGAATCCTCCTGACCTGAGGCTTAACCAACTCTCACGACTGGGTGTCAACCCGTCCTATCACCCACCTAAACCCAGCGGAAATTTCACCTGAGAATTCACCTAAAGATTCACCTGAGCCCTCACCTGCTGAAGAAGACCTCCCAGATAATCTGCACCACAGGCTGCTGCCCCCCGGTGTCGTTATCCTCGATAAGGAGTGTCTCTTTATTGCTAATGCACGCTGTGAGCACCACTATCACTGCCCACCCCACCACACTAGCTGCCGAAAGACACGAGACCATCGCGGCCGGCACAGTGACGTCGGCACGTTTCGTCTCTTCTGCCATGTGTGCTACAGTGTCATAGGCATATAGGCCGAAGATGGAGAGTTGCATGGCAAGCACAAAGGCGTATGCCTGGGAAGTAGGGGGAGGGGTAGAGGTTTGAGGGGGTGGGGGAAAGGGGGCAGAAAGAGGAGGAATGGTGAGGGGTTGGGGGGGGAGTTTGGGGTGTCATGTGAAGCTAAAGAGGGTGTTTTGGGGGGTCTTGGTTCTTAAAAGTTCGTCTTTCTATATGCCCCCCACAGCTGTTTGTTGGATAATTGACGTGCGGTGGGTCAAATTGTGGTGCCAGAACGAGCTGCACACGGATGGAGGCGGGCGAATGCGAACGAGGCGGGGTGCATCTGCTACAGGCGCATCGTTTGATGTGTGCCACTTCAAACAGCCATCTCACGACAACAGAAAGACGTCTAGGTGCACACGGACGTCCAGCTGCACACGGATGGAGCCTGGAGGTGGCCGAATACGAACAAGGTGGCTGCATCTGCTACAGGCGCAGCTTTTGAAGACACCAAACGTGCCCACTTGACCCCACTCACATCGGTGGGTACGTGCGTCATGTCGAGCTGCACGTGGAAGTGCCCGAAGACAAACGAGGCGGGCTGCAGGGTGGTGGCGACGCATGGCAGGATGACGATCATCGCAAGCACCACCAGGATCTGATGGTAGAGGGGTTTAGAGGGGTGAAAGAGGGGGAAGAGGGGTGTTAGGATGAAGGGTGGTTGCGATGCAGGGCAGGATGAGGATCATTGCGAGCACCACCAGGATCTGATGGGATAGGGGGATGGGGGGAGATAAGCTGCTGCCATCTGCACCCCCCACCTGACATGCCCACCCCACCCGCCACCCTAAGCCTTACCTGCCACACGGCACTGAAGGCGGCGATCCGCCCTATGGAGTGCACGGGCAGCAGGTTGAGCAGCCCGCAGAGGACTATGGCGGCCACTGTGATGCCAAAGCACTCGTAGTTGCTCAGCAGGTAGCCGCTCTTGACGCCGCCTGATGGGATGGTGAACAAGAGCAGAGCAAAGCAGGGTATATAGAAACAGGGATACAGACTGATGCATGAAAGTGCTTCTAACGAGTTTGAATGTTGAAGCTCATTGACCGCATTCATGAGTCTGATGAAGTCAAACAGCTGCTGCTTCATTATTGCCACTTGTGGTTAAAGTCACTGCATACATTTTATTTATATCCATATGGTATCAATTATAAATTAGCATATGATCTCTTTCTAAGGGCTAGCTGCACTGGTTCAGCTCGGCTGTGGGGTGGGGTGTACCCTGCATGCTTTAGCTCCTAATTGCTGTGCTGTAGAATCGTTTTTTTATGTCGGTAAAACAGTTCCTATAGCAGTGTAGATTGTGCACTGTAGAAGCTGTAGCTATAGTACCTGTAGCGGCATAGATGGTGTACTGTAGCAGCTGCACCCCGCCAAAGGAGAGCGACCCAATGCACACGGAGATCCCAAGGAACTCCAACCACCCCTGAGGGGCCAACCGGGGGGGAAGGGGGGGGGGGTTGCAGCCTTTGAATATTCTGCCTGTAGCACTTTGGTTGTGGGACAATGAAAGACAAGGTGCACCCCGCCAAAGGAGAGCGACCCAATGCACAGCACACGGAGATCCCAAGGAACTCCAACCATCCCTGAGAGCGCAAGCAGAGGGTGGGATTGTCTGCCTCGAGCACTCTGGCTGTAGCAGTTGAAACTGTGAGAATTTCCAAGGCTGGGTGCACAGCATCGAATGAGAGCGATCCAATGCACACGGCGATCCCAAGGAACTCCAGCCACCCCTGAGGAGAGCAAGCAGTAGGGGGCATTTGAGGTCAGACAGACGCAGCAGGCAAGTCGAGGCAGCTGCGACAGACTCTTGGGTCGGCTCAAAAGTCATCTCATTACCATGTTCCAGCTAAGATGCAACAGCCAAGCCAAGTCAGCTGCGAAGGAACAGGGGGAGCGCAACGAAGAGCACCCCAACAGAGCCGATAGGTAGCAGCCGATAGTAGAGAAGAAGTAGCCAACAGTTTGCATCGGCCCAAGATTACCAAATGAGCAGCAAGGGAATGGAAGGTTGGGCCTAAAACAACCCAGGATGGGAGGAGGGAGAGTGGGGCCTTATGTTATAGCAACCCTGGCGTTGGAAGAAGGGAGGCTTCCAGCGATCCACAGTGAGGAAAAGGGAGGAGGGGAGAGGGTGAGAGGGAGTCTCGCAGTGATGCAGACACGCAGGAGGGTATGGGAGGGAAGAGCGGAGGAGGGAGTCTCACAGTGATCCATGCTGCAAATGGGCCGTGCTTTGGCCCAGCTAGAGCCGCCGCCCAGAAATAAAGCGACCCAGAGATCTGATTGCGGGAGGGAAGGGGGACGGGGGAGTAAGGGGGAGTGAGGGAGGGGGGGCTGGTGGAGGTGCCCATTGATGGAGTGGAAGTTGTACGGAATGGATCGTACATAACGGCGATGACTGGCATCAATTGGAACGCAGGGACAGAAGGGAGGCGGGCGACAGAGAGGGTGGTTGTACGGGGGGAGGGGCGAGGGAGATGGGATGCCAGTGCTTCTGCGCAGAGGAGGACGCCCATTCACAAAAGAAACGACTTTTGCGTCTCAAAACGACTCAAAAGGCTTCTGCGCAGAGGAGGACGCACAGTCACAAAGGAAACGGAGAAAAGCACGGAGAGATGGAGCTGAAAGGGAGGGTTTGAGAGCAGAGGAACGTACGGGGAAGGACGGAACGCTTTCAGCAGCACGTACGGGGAAGGCGGAGGAGATTTCAGCGAAGGAGAGAGCAACGAGGTGAGTGAAGAAGACAGTGATCCACCAGTACCACACCAGGGCCACGGGGCCTCCGTTCAAGTAGGTCATTCTTGAAAAGGACAGAGAGGGAGAGAGGGGAGGGGTGACGGAGGAAGAGAGGGGCCAGCAGTGGAGAGAGATGAAAAGAGTACGAGCCAGAAAGCCAGGAAAAACAGGGGGGCTTGAGAGACAGCAGGAGGAGGCACGGGTGGACTTCTCGAGTTTACTTAGAAAACACGCAAGCGAAAAGATGCAAAGTTGTTGTTATGGGTACTCCTACTACATGGCACATTAGAGGAGGCAGCGCATGGGGGAAGGTGGTATTTGGGGAAGACAGAGGCTGCATATGGGGGAGGTGGAGGGAGGGGTGCTTACGAGTAGTAGGGCACTGTTCCGGCGTAGAAGGTGACTATAGAGAGGCCGATGGAGAAGACCTCAAAGAAGCTCTGCAGAAGGGGGATGCAGGGGGGAGTGGGGGGGAGTGGGGGGAGGGGGAGGTATATCACTAGACTGGCCACATCACTAGACTGGCCATATCACTAGACTGGCCATATCACTAGACTGGCCATATCACTAGACTAGCCATATCACTAGACTGGCCATATCACTAGACTGGCCATATCACTAGACTGGCCATATCACTAGACTGGCCATATCACTAGACTGGCCATATCACTAGACTGGCCATATCACTAGACTAGCCATATCACTAGACTGGCCATATCACTAGACTGGCCATATCACTAGACTGGCCATATCACTAGACTGGCCATATCACTAGACTGGCCATATCACTAGACTGGCCATATCACTAGACTGGCCATATCACTAGACTGGCCATATCACTAGACTGGCCATATCACTAGACTGGCCATATCACTAGACACAAGGGACAGATTCTTCTAGGGGGATCGCAGGCGAAATGTCCAAGAGCGACTGAAAAGCGCATCCATGAATTTAGCGAAAAGACACTAGACTGGACAATGTATAGTTTTGAGGCACCTCAAAACTAGACGGGCAATTAATTTGGGGTATGCACTCCTTTTTAGCCTCGTCCTACCTTTGTTTGTGCAATTAATATAATTCGAATGTCTTACCAGCCCACATATAGCCGCTAGCCCAAGCGTCGGTTACAATCTGTGGGCTTCCCAAGCCCAACAGCGCGCCAATTCCTTCTACAATCAGGTACAGTACAGTCCGATGGCGGTAGCACCAAACTCCACCCGCCCTAAGGGCGTGTGGCAAGTAGAAGTCGAAACGATGGGACCGGGCCGGAGGTCAGGTACAATGAGGTACCGTGTGATTTTGTATCGTTTCAAAACAATTTATGAGAGGTACAGAGGTAAACGACCGGACGATAGGAGCGGAGGGTCTCTCCGACAGTACTTGCCACACGCCCTAAGCTCCGCCGCACTCACCAAGTGCCGCCTTAGCTCCTGCTTGTATCCCAGCTCGTTAAGAAGCCTCTCGCCAGAGTCAACCTCCACCGTCATATGGAGTCCGTCCTCCAGCATAATCTCCAACGTCTGCTTCCCGCCTTCCGCGTTCAGCCCGGTTAAATTTCCCCGCATCGATCCGTCCCGCTCCCCCCTCTCCTCGCCGCACAATGCGCCGCCATCGACGCCGGCACTCGCAGTGCGGCCATGACCGTTTCCGGGGTCGACGCGCCAGCTCCCGGAATTCCCGGCGCCGGGGCTGCCGAACCCGCCCGCGCCGGCGTGAATCACGGCGGAGCCTTCTCCGCTCCCCGCCCGCCATTCCCCGCTCTCAGTCGCGCCAACGCTTCCCGGGCCGCCGCCGCTGGCGACGCTGTCGGCATTTCCGGGGCCGGCGGCGGCGGCGTTGGTAGTGGGCGCGACCACCTGCCACGAGTCAGCGGCTGCGACGAGGTCGAAACTTTCGCGAGGCGCCGCGCTTTCGTCGTTACTGTCGTTCGCGACGCCTCGCGAAATCGCATCGCCGGCGAGGCCGCCGCTCGTGGATGGAGGAGATATTTGCTTCTTTCTGAAAGGCATTGCGTATTGCTGCTACTAGTACTAAACAGAAACCTTGTAGCGAAGCAAATGTCTGGGTTGGGAGCTGAAAGGGATTCAATAAAAGCGTAAAAACGCGAGTTGGCACGCTGTCTTTGAAATCTTATCTGCCTGCCTCGACGCCCAACGCCCAATAAGTGTCGTATCACTCAAATAACACTTCGCTAGACTACGCAGTCCCTTTCAGCTGCTCTACGCGTGTGTCTGGCGTTCTCGAACCATCTGTTCGCGAGCCTGCTCAGTGCTCACTAAGTTAAACCAAAGCAAGAAGTCGGGTCAAGGTGGTCCTCGTCATTCCAGGATAAACGAAGGAATTTCAGCCGTGCGAACCACTGAATGTACGCCTGACGAAGCTTCATTTTTCGTAATCCTGTTACCAGATGCTGCAATTTGTGATCGCTCCACGAGCACTAGATTTCGCCCGGACAGTCCCACTGATACACTGCCCTTTATTTCACTTGTGCGGGATGCAAGTGCCACTCCTAAATTCGATTCATTTCGGCTTCATTTTGGTGGTCCGGAAAAAACTTCTGCGTGTAAAGCTGTGAACATGGGGCAGAGAGGGCAACAAATTATGGCGGATAGGGCATGACAAACAGTGCGGTACCCGTGGGAAAGACAGGCCGCATGATCCCATAGGGCGACAGTGCAGCCCCACTCAGAGTCATCATTACAAGAGCAGATTTGCAGATCGAGTGGACAGCGATTTTTCTCTGGATTTTCACCCCCAGAATTTTCACGGGACCGCTATTGTATCGTTTCGAGAGCGGATCTTCCCAAGCTCCAGGAACAACCCGTTCCATATCCCGAATCCAGGTTACAGAGAGTTGATGATTCTCCATTGTAGGATCAGCAACTAGCACACCCTATTGAGAGGAATAACATCTGCGTACCCAAAAACGGTCAGGGTGGCGAGAACCCGGCAGGCTCTGTGAGTCCTGCGTTTCCCGCGCTGGAGATAAGCCACCTGGGCAGACGTGGTTGCAAATGGTGGCGTATCTCCGAGCAACAATCAAACGACAAGGGAAAACACCAGCGCAACTGGCCTGGTCCTGTTTCTGGCTCAAACTGTAATGTGGCTTCTAACAACCTGTGATTCAGTAGGACCAATTGTATTTCCAAAACCGTCATGTAGCAGAAGGGGTATAAACGAAGAATATGCAACTGTAATGACGAAGTTACAGCAATATTCAATCCAATTGCTTATATATAATGATGAAATGGGGTGGAAAACACACAGCCCATATCGCCATCTCATGCTTCTTTCAAACGCTTTGACCCCGTACCCTCCCCCTTTCTATCCTCACCATGCTCCGGTTGTTCCTTCACCACACGCACTACTTGCTTCCCTTCATCCCCAACACCTGATGGAGTGAGCAGGCAAGAAAGGACGACAATGAGACGCCAGAATGTGAAAGAACTATTGATGTCCGCATGGAGTAGGAAGGGCAGCCGTAGAGACATTACAATGATGTGGCAAAAAACAAGATGCACACATCTCCATGCGCAGCAGTGTTGTATGTGTGTCATATAACGATTCTCAGAGTGTGCTTCAGCTCGCCAGTCATGTTGGCAGGCACACACTATAATGTGCATCAAGACACAAATCTCACCAGTCATGTTAGCAGGGACACATCGGAGGAAGACAATCGGCAGCAGCGTGCAAAAGGCCTGTATCGTTACGCCAAGTGTCAGGTTGTCGAATGACGTGGCGGTGATGCCGAGCTCCGTGGCGAGAGTGGCGCCCATGTAACCGCTGAGCGTGTTACCAAAGTTGTACGCTGACATGAAGAGGGCAAAAAGCGTGCCCTCTATTCCAGGGGGGCACAGGCGGGCCGAGAGGACGAGGAACGGCATGAACCTGGATGAGAGGTGATGGGTTGTAAGGAGGGAGACGAATGGAGGAAAAGTATGCAGAGATGAAGAGGGAAAATAGCGTTACTCAGGACCAGGGGGGCACAGGCGGGCCGACTCGGACGAGGAATGGCACGAACCTGATAGGGCGGGGAAGGGTGTGGCGGGGGGGGGGGAATGGAGGTATGGGTGGGGTTTTGGGTGGAGCGGAGTGGAGGGGCCGTACAGGACGAGTGGCAGGAACCTCTCAGGGGCGGGGGGGAGTTTGGAGGGGAGGGGTTCCAAGGGCTGTGTGTGGAGGTGAGGCGCAAACATGAGCTGTGCGTGGAAAAACTACTCCCTCCCCTCTCCTGTCCACCCTCGTTGAATCAACTTATCTTAATAAAATACCCCTGCTTTTTGTGAATCGCTTGAACTGGTTCATCGCATCGGACAAAGCACCGGATCCCAGCAGGAAGATAGAGTCAGGGATGGCAGTGAATCCCTTTGGTATAATTTCTACTCTCAGGACTCACTTGAATTGGTCCACGGTATCGGACACAGCAGCGGAGCCCAGCAGGAACACAGGGTCGGGTACCACGTGTCCCCCCCTCTCCTTTCTATCCCCATGGCCTCAACTCACACTCCTCCCTTCCACGAGACTCACTTGAACTGATTGACAGCATCGGACACAGCAGCGGAGCCCAGCAGGAACACAGGGTCGGGGATACCAAGCCTCAGGTTGAGGCGGGAGGTGAGGAGAGTGTCGGCAATCGTGCACAGCGCCATCAGAATGTGCACCCACCTGCAGCAACAAGTGCGAGCACGGGTATACAGGCACGGGATTAAGTTTTAGGGAGCAGGGGAACGGTTAAGAGTTTGCATGGGTAAGAAAGAGTCTCAGGATCAGGCGGGGGGTGAGGAGGGTGTCGGTGCACAGCACCATGAGAATGTGCACCCACCTCTGACCAGCAGGTGGGGTTTAGAGTGTGCGAGCATGGGTTTCGGGTTAAGGGAGTGTGAAGATGGTTTTGGGTTTTGCATGGGAAAGTAAGAGCCTAAGGTTGAGGGGTATGCGTGACTGTACACAACCATGAGCTAAGGTGGCTACGTGCACCCATCTATTCATGGAAGGTTTAGGGTTTAAGGTGTAGGGATGGGGGCCGTCGGGTGGTCGAGAAGAGCATCGAGCATGAGCCCCACGGACCTCCAACCATTGAACTCGAGCCGGAGATGCCTTACATGAAGACTCGCCGAATCGGGACGTATTCGAGGCGATTGCTGCAGAGGAGAGTGCCCAGCAGCACGAGCCCCACCCAAGATAACCTTGTGGTAGATCATGTAACGGAGGGTAGAGGAGGTGGTGGTTGGTGTGCTGTGCACTCACATGAAGATTCGTCGAATCGGGACGTATTTGAGGCGGGTATTATACAGCAGGGTCCCCAGCATGAGCCCTGCCCAGCCGACGACCTTGGTGGAGCCAAGGAAGGAGGGGTCGAGGTGCAGGTGGTTGGTGTGGAAGTAGAAGAGCGAGGAGGAGAGCGTGGGGACGACTGCACATGATGCCATGAACCACGCCATGGGCCTGGGGGGGGGGAGAGGGGTAAGGGAGTAAGAAGGGGGATAACGGGTGCTGAGGTGATCAGAACAAAGGGGATGGTCAAGCAGGGGATACCGCAGGTGAGCAGCCTGCAAGGTGCACATAAGCGGCATTTAAACAGTAACTCAGCTGAATAGTAGCCACTAGCAGAGCCACTAGCAGAGCCCCTATCAAAGCCACTAGCAGAGCCCCTAGCAGAGCCCCTAGCAGAGCCACTAGCAGAGGCACGATCGGAGCCCCTAGCAGAGCATCAAGGGCACGGGACCTCAGAGGATCACTCGCCAGCAGATGTCAGGAGACCTGACAGCACGCCACAGAGACAAGCCACACAGCATGGAGGGCATGGAACCACGCAATAGCTCACTAGACGATGTCAGGAGGAGATCTGACAGCACAGCATGCCACAGAGCCGCCGCCACCAGATGTACTCCCTTCCTCCACAACCCCAGTCCCCACCTTCCCCGCCTTCCCCCTCTTCCTCACAACAGGACAGGCCAAAAAACATATTCCCGGAATAACTAATGGGATAGCTCACCAGAAGATGTCAGGAGACATGACAGCGCGCCACAGAGCCATTACCACATGCACCACCTTCCTCCACAACCCCGGTGCTCGCCTTCCCCGCCTTCCCCCTTGACTCCTCTTCTGCTCCTCTGCTCCCGCTCCCTTCCCGTCCTCACTCGTTTCCTTCTGGCCCCCACCACCACCTCTCCTCTGTCTCAGCCCAACGCTCCTCCCTTCTGCCTCACCACTCCCAGCACCCCTCTTCTTCACTCCTCCCTCCTCCCCTGCACCGAAACCCAGGCCACCATTCCTATGTGTCTCACTCTGCGTCCCCTCCCCATCTCCTCCCCTCCATAGCCTTCCCCCCCCCCCCTCCTCCTCTTCTGTACACGAAGACACCTTCGTTTCTTTAGCTGCATCGTTTAGAGGCGCCTGAGAACCAGCCTCCGTCAGATGAGCAGTACCCCTTTCTCGACCTGCTCGGTCCTGAGGGTCCGACTCCACTTCCTCCCATTCCTCCAACCCAATGCTCTCCTCGCTCTTGCTGTCCCCTTGCTGCTGACTTGTAATGGCACTATGAGTGGGAAAACTCTCCTCTTGTTGCCTGGCCTCACCAGCAGTTGCTACAGCCTTCTCTCTGTCTCCAAACCCAGTCTCTTCTGCCCCCTTCACTCCAATATTCGCCTTCCCAGCCAGACCTAGGCATTCGCCCGCCTCCTTCCCACCCTTCTCTCTCCCCCCTCCCTCCTCCACCTCCTCCTCCTCTCCTTCTTGTTCCTCCTCCTCCACTCCCTCCTCTGCCTCGACTCCTTCCTCTCCCTCCTCCTGCTCCTCCTCTTCACTCCCAGTCCCCCCTAGGAGTTTCCTCTCAGACGAGACGAGGCACATGGCGAGCTGAGACAGCGGGAAGAAGGCGAAGAGGGCGAACATGCCGTGCGGCCGCAGCGTCTTTAAAGCCGGGCCGCCTAGGAGACTCCCCACCACACCGCCAGCAGCCATGGAGAACCACGATAGGGATTGCAGGTCGCCTGCGTACCTCTCTCTGCGAACAGGCGAGAAGGGGGGGGAGGGGGGAATTAAGAACAAGCTGAGACAGCGGGAAGAGGCGAAGAGGGCACCATGAGAGTGACTGCAGATCGCCTGCGTACCTTTCTCTGCACCACACAGCAGAGATAAATAGATTATAGCGGAACGAGGAACTAGATACATGGATGCCTCTGCCATCATTGCGTCGATCACCGCGCCAACCATAACTGCCCCCACGTTCTGCAGCACCAGCAGCAGCGTGAAGGGTGCGAGGGAGGCGGCGCCGCGGCAGCACACCTAGAGCACTCACCATATCAGTGTGAGTTCCATGGTATATATCATACCCACCATTTTAGACCACTCACTTCACTTGTCTCCCGTGGCTGTTCCAGCCAACCTAGCATCAGACACCACGTCAGCCATGGCGGCCCCCACGGTCTGCAGCACGAGAAGCAGTGTGAAGGGCGTCGGGGAGGCGGCAGCACGCCTAGAGTACCACACTCTTCAGTGTCAGTCTACCATACTCACTTGTCTCCTTTTGCAGCTTCCGCCACCATAGCGTCGATCACCACGTCCGCCATGGCTGCCCCCACGTTCTGCAGCACGAGCAGCAGCGTGAAGGGCGCAGGGGAGGCGGCGAGACGAGGGACGAAGGCAAGGGCGAGCCAGGAGAGCAGGGAGAGGGCGTTGGCGATGACTATGTAGGGGATGCGCCGGGCGCCCCGTATAGGCACACAGTCCGATAAAATACTGCACACAGTGGGATGGAGCAGCAGGAGGAGAGGAAGGAGAAACCGAGGGAGGGAGGGAGAGGAGGGAGAAGGCGTTGGCGATGACGATGTAAGGCATGCGACGGGCGCCACTCATAGGCACCCACTCGGATAAGATGCTGGTGGAGACAGTGGGTATGAGGAGGGAAGGGAGAAAGCGAGGGAGGGGGGCGATGATCTTGGGGAGAGACAGCGGATACGAGAGTAAGAGGGCGAAAGAAAGGCGTGGAACCTACCCACAGTGCAGGTTAACGCTCAGATTAACGCTCAGGTTAATGCTGAGGCATGTAGGCTGTGCTCTGACGCATGTAGGCTGTGCTCTGACGTATGTAGGCTGTGCTCTGACGCATGTAGGGCTGTGCTCTGACGCATGTAGGCTGTGCTCTGACGCATGTAGGCTGTGCTCTGACGGATGTAGGCTGTGCTCTGACGCATGTAGGCTGTGCTCTGACGGATGTAGGGCTGTGCTCTGACGCATGTAGGCTGTGCTCTGACGGCATGTAGGCTGTGCTCTGACGCATGTAGGCTGTGCTCTGACGCATGTAGGCTGTGCTCTGACGCATGTAGGCTGTGCTCTGAAGAATGTAGGCTGTGCTCTGACGCATGTAGGCTGTGCTCTGACGCATTGGTTAGGCTGTGCTCTGACGCATGTAGGCTGGTGCTCTGACGCATGTAGGCTGTGCTCTGACGCATGTACGGCCTAGCTGTCTGCTCTGACGCATGTAGGCTGTGCTCTGACGCATGTAGGCTGTGCTCTGAAGAATGTAGGCTGTGCTCTGACGCATGTAGGCTGTGCTCTGACGCAATGTAGGCTGTGCTCTGACGCATGTAGGCTGTGCTCTGAGGCATGTACGCAGTGGAGGGCATGAGCTGCCGCGAAAGTCAATACAGAGAGCGTCACACTCACCCATAGAGCGGCTTGACACTCCACGGCATGTAGCCGTAGAGGTCATGAGCTGCGTTGCTAAACCATCCCAACAGGCACACACAGAGAGCTTCACACTCACCCATAGAGGGGCTTAACGCCCCACGACATGTAGGCCGTGGAGGTCATGAGCTGCCTTTGAACCAAGTTACATGAATGAACTGTACTCACCCATAAAACGGCGTCACACGCCACAGAATGTAGGCAGTGGAGGTCAACCACACAGGGCCGTCGCACTCACACTCACCCATAGAGGGGGCTTAACGCTCCACGGCATGTAGGCCGTGGAGGTCATGAGCTGCGCTGCTGCTGGCCCCAGCTTGAGCTGGTCCTTCACCAGAATGCTGATGGCCGTCCAGGGGAAGGCGCGGAAGCCCTGAGGGGAGAAGTGGGGTGAAGATGGGTGAAGAACGGTGAGTATGTGAATTCAAGGGAGGTCGCGGAGGACAAGGGACGGGCCCAACTTGAGCTGGACCTTCGCCAGTATGCTGATGGCCTTCCAGGGAAAAGGGAGCGGACGAGGGGTGAAGAACGATGAAAATATGGGTGAGAAGGTTAGGGAGACGCAGAGAGAAAGGAGGAGCCGCTTGAGATGATCCTTCACCAAGTTGTTGATGGCCGTCTCCAAAACCAGTCAGGATCTGTCAAAACCCGTCAAGAACCGTCTTAAAGCCCGCGTGACGTCTCACCTGCGCCCAGTAGATGCTGAAGACGAGGACGAGGAACGGCGTGCCGAAGCATCGCCGCAGCGAGTTGAGCCACGAGACGAGGAGCATGGCGGAGCACAGCCGAAGATCTGAGGAGCCAGCGGTGGAGATCGACGGCTAAGATGAGCGCGTGAATAGGAGGCCTTGTGGACGAAGTGTCGGCCGTCAAATGGGGTGGTGAGGGGTCAAGTGCGATGATGAGAGCGGTCACGTCTTTTCTCCGCGATATGTCAGGCCTGGGCTCCTCAAATCCTCCCAGATTCAGCTCCAGTCGGCTCGAGCATCATCCATGCGACAATAATCAAATCACGGGGTTCTCGTGCACTAAATAGCTATAGTCAGCGGTCAATGAGGATCGAGCTGCAACAGTCGTTAGTGAATGGTTCTTCCCAAGACCATCTGGTTTGACAAATGGCAACAAGGAGGTTCAAAAGAATTTGGACCTGTGTATGACGAAGTAGGAGGACGCCTTATTCTTAATTAGGGAGGCGGCTCGCTCACGACGTTGTGAAGAGAGAGCGATTTACGCGGCTCACTCCTAGAATCGTGACTAAAAGTCAGACTGAGAACCAGAGAAATGCGTTGCAATCGAATGCGAATGGATTCGCGACCAAGCGACCGAGTGTCCTCGGACGGTCGGCTTCAATCGCAGCCGCATTCACTACATACAGACAGACGTCGCTACCTAGAGACGACTACCTGAGCTTGATTACTTTTTCGAGAAGGCTGAATCGGAGGCTATGAGTTGGTTCCGGAAATTGAAGTTTCAGGGGTGAGTTGAGTTGAGAAGAGAGACTGGAGAGTAGAACCAACCATGCATCTGAAAAACCTAGATTCTGGATCTCTCGTGTCTCGAAGCGTGAGTGGCACACCTCTGTTTGGATCTCGAAAATTCCATTCTGATTGGGTGGAGCAGGTCGGCGG